TGGGTCACGAATGCTCTGGCCAAGCTCTTGAAACTCGAGATTGACCCTCGTTTTAATTGTCGAAACCATATTCTGGCTGACCCGTTTAATGTAGTTGAAAATACCCGGCACCTGACCGCCTCCGACACTCCGTAGATATCCATCCATTCTCGATAAGCATCTAGATGGTCCACTTGGTCGGTCGTCCCGTCGAATTGTTTCACCGTGCGTAGCTTGAATTTTGGAGGGATCTTCTCTCTCATGATCTCCTCCGTGAATGGTGAGTCGGCTTGATCCAGTAGTTCTTCGAGGTCGAATCCCTTCTCCTTTTGGTTATGTCGCTTCTCTGAAGACTCTGGCCGATCTGTCAGTTTGCCTTTGTCGAGACTTATTGGCTCAGAGTTTCTGTTATCCTGGTTGCTCTTGCCCCCGTTTGGTGCCGGGGATTTATGTTGCTTTTTTATCTTTTGGGAGTCGAAAATCCGGGTTCGTCGCCTGGTATTTCCACCTATCCGCAACTTGCTCCCTACACTGTTTGTTGATTCCTCGGTCTCGCTTTGCGTCGTGCCCTTCCCATTTCTCGGGTCTCTGACAAGGGGTACCTCGTCGGACTCTTGTCGCTCGAATTGTCGAAGGACTTGGGTCATGCGTTGCAGCATGCCCTCTAGATGTGTATAAGAGAGCAGCCTCTAACCGCCGCGGATTTTATGTCGCTTTATCACTACGTTGCTCGTATTTCTTTTCTTTGGAATTATCAATTAACCCTCTTACCAATCACTTATTGGCTTACGACTCTAACTCGGATGGAGTTTTGTTGCTTTCATTTCCGTAGGTTTCTAACCCATTGGCCATAGCCAATGGTTTTACACCCGCTATCGTTTTTGGCATTTTACTCCATCTCATGTTTTAATCGTTCTAGGTCAATCGACCCGCTTCTGGTTTGGCCGTGTTGAGATTGTTTAATTGTTCTTTCCAAATGTGTCGATTAAAGTAGATTCGTCCTCCGTCGCCCGTGGTCGGCGTCGAGTGGTGGTCGGACCCGAGCCCTGTTCAGTCGAAAATAAGACCTATTGGCAAAAATAGGCTATCTTATAAAACTGCCAATTAATGTAGATTGGTGCCCATTCGCATTTGGTCGACACCGAACAATGATCGGACCCGAGCAGTGGTCGGCCCCGAGCCCTGCTCGGCCTGCTCGGCTAGAGCTGGTTTTACCGTCGCCGTGTAGAGTTGAGCCCTATTGCCCCCTACTCTCAAGGTAGTGTATTGTCGATATCTCTTGAGAGTACGCTTGTAGACGAGGCAAGGTGTTTTAT